TGAGATCCCACGTCAATTGGAGAGGGGAACGAAACATTTTTTATAAGGCTGTGGAAACCTCTCCCTAACAGACGTGGTTTAAAAACCTTGAGGGGAAACGAAGGGGAAAGCCCAAAAAAGGACAATATTTGCTAGCGGTGAGCTTGTGCCATTACAAAAGGTATCAGAGTCAGACACCGGGCAGTGTGTCAGTGAAGACGCTGGGCCCCGAAAGGGGGTGGATTGTGAGATCCCACATTGGTTGGAGAGGAGAACAAAGCATTCTTTATAAAGGTGTGGAAACCACTCCCTAGCAAACGTGTTTTAAAAACCTTACAGGGAAGCCCGAAGGGGAAAGCTCAAAGAAGACAATATTTGCTAGCGGTGGGCTTGGGCTGTTACAAATGGTATCAAAGTCACACCGGGCGGTGTGCTGGCGAGGACGCTGGGCCCCAAAGGGGGGTGGATTGTGAGATCCCACATCGGTTGGAGAGGTAAACGAAGCATTAAGGGTATGGAAACCTCTTCTTAGCATACACGTTTTAAAAATCTTGAGGGAAAGTCCAAAAAGAACAATATTTGCTAGCGGTGGGCTTGGGCCGTTACATTGCACCTCCCATTCTATGCTTATCAATATCCGTATTTGTTCGTGAATTTTATGAGTATAACATCCCATTACTTCCACAAACACATATATCAGTGGCTTTTGAAATGCTAGCTTTGTAGTGCATTAAAATGTTGGTTGCATATCAGTTTGCAGGAAATGCATTTATGAGAAGCTCTCAGATGAGGAGGTTGATTGTTGTCCTGTATGCAACATTGATCTGGGCTGTCTTCCTGTGGAGAAACTGAGGTCTGTTCTTTTATTTTTTGCAGTTTCCTCTAATGACATGATTTGACAGCTCTCGAGAGCGTATAGCTGTTAGGTAAAGTGCTTTGTTGGGATGAAAGAACTGTCTATGTTCGTAAAAAAATTTGTCGAGGTGTATGCTTTCGTGCTTTTCTATTTTATAAAGAGTGTTGTTGATACTATTTCCAGTGGCGGTAATAGAGTCGTGTTGCTCGGTATATCGAGGCAATTTGTTTGAGGAAGGTGTTAAAACTAGAGATGAAACATTAATGTATGAAGCGGGGACTATGTGAGATCTTACGTCGGTTGGGGAGGAGAACAAAACATTCTTTATAAGGGTGTAGAAATCTCTCCTTAGTAGATGTGTTTTAAAGACCTTGAGGGGAAGCTCGAAAGGGAAAGGCCAAAGATGTCAATATCTGCTCGTAGTGGGCTTAGGATGTTACAAATGGTATCAGAGCCAGACACCGGGTGATGTGTCAACGAGGAGGCTGAGTCTCAAAGGGGAGTGGACACGAGACAGTGTGCCAGCAAGGACGCTGGGTCTCGAAGGGGGGGGGTCCCACAATTGATTGGAGAAGGGAACAAGTGCCAGCGAGGACGCTGGGCCTTGAAGGAGGGTAGATTGTGAGATCCCACATCAGTTGGAGAGGAGAACGAAACATTCTTTATAAAGGTGTGGAAACCTCTCTCTAGTAGACACGTTTTCAAAACCTTGAGGGGAAGCCAGAAAGGGAAAGCCCAAAGAGGACAATATCTGCTAGCAGTGGGCTTGGGCCGTTACAAATGGTATCAGAGCCAGACACCAGGCAATATGCCAGCGAGGAGGCTGAGCCCTGAAAGGGGGTGGACACGAGGCGGTATGCCAACAAGGACGCTGGGTCTCAAAGGGGGTGGATTGGGGGGGTCCCACATTGATTGGAGAACGGAATGAGTTCCAGCGAGGATGTTGGGCCTCGAAGGGTGGTGGATTGTGAGATCCCACATCAGTTGGGGAGGAGAACGAAACATTCTTTATAGGAGTGTGGAAACCTCTCTCTAGCATACACGTTTTCAAAACTTTAAGGGGAAACCCAAAAGGGAAAGCGGAAGAAAATTGTCAACTTTTTCCCGGAGATGTCTTTTGGACTCGATTTCTTACTGCTAAAGTCTAGATGCGTTCTCGAGTTTCCAAAAGGCCTTTTTTGGTACGAGAGCTTCAAGAAGGTCCTCGATCCGGTGTCTCCTTTGATGGGATTTCGTAACGCTAAAATTTAGATGCTTTCGTTCGACTGCTCAGGCATTTAATGTTATAGCATTTAGATGATCTCAGCTGCAACATTAGATTTGTATTTATATTTTGCAGGCCAGACCACAATTTACAAGATATCAGAGCCAAAATATTTCCTCTCAAGAGGAGAAAGATAACCGCACCCGAAGTGTCGCCCTTGGCTATGTTACCCGTGAAAAGGAAGGAGCGATCGCTATCTTCGTTGGTGGTAAACACTCCCAAAGTACCAATCCAGAGTAGCGGCTTGACTGGAAGACGATCGAAGAATGTTGCAAGAAAGGCTTCGACTTTACGAGGATGTAGTGTCGGGATCGAGGAACCGCTAAAGAAAGAAGAAGATTCAGGAGAAGATCATACACCAAGTTCCAGCTCTTCTGATTATTTGACTAAAAACGTTCGGCACAGAAGGCCCGACTCATCTTTTGCCGAGCCATCTAACAGTACAAGACACGAGGATCTTACAGTAGAAGGAAAAGCTGATCTCTGGACACCCTTGAATTGTTTGGTCGAAGCTGCTAACCGAACGAAGTCAACCAAACTAAATTTCCAAGACCCATCAATGGCCAAACTCGAACCATCGATCGTTGCTGATGCTGATCTCAATGCACAAGAAACCAATGCAAAACCGCTGTCACTTGGAGCTCCGAATTATGGACCGTGTATGCCGAAAACAAGAAATAAAGAGCATGGAAGCCACCTAAAGGCAAAGGATAACCATAATAATGGGACGACATCACTCCCAGAATCCATGAAACGTCGAAGGTTACGAGCAGTAGCTCGGAACAAGGCAGCTGCGTCTGTCGAGCTAGGCTCGACAGCACAAGCTGTGCTCGATGCGTCGGCCGATAAATGTAGAAGAAATAACTCGATTTGGTTCACATTAATCGCTTCAGAAGACAGGTAACATACCCAACCTATCAAATACATATTATTTGAGTTCTTGTTTGACTGATTTGTTCTTATAAATTTTAGGAAAGGAGGCTTTCCGTTGCCTCAAATATCAACTTCTTACTTGAGAATAAAGTAAGTTCTTCATTTATATTTCATGAATCTTATAAGAACAAATACGTTCTCGACACCGTGTAAGAACGTTACTGTTGCTACTCATCGAATTTTCGATACTCGCTGATTAATATGCTGTTCTAAATGTTCATTTATTCGCTCGTTACGCTACAGAGATGGGAAAATGCCTGTTTCGTCTATCCAAAAGTACCTTGTAAAGAAACTAGATCTTGAGAGTGAAGCTGAGGTATTTAATTTCACGAGCTCGATCTCGAAGTGGTTAAGTCGAATATGTTGTTTTGATTCATGTTACATCTCAGGTGGAAATATCGTGTCGGGGTCAGCCGGTGCTACCAACGCAGCAGCTACAAAACTTGGTCGACTTGTGGTTTCGAACGGCGTCCACGGCTAAGAAAATTCCAGCATCTGTTGGCTCGTCTGCTAAGGACTTTGTTATGGTCCTCTCGTACCGTCGGAAAGTTCATACCCCTTAACGAGGTTCTTGATCTTGTTCTTGGTTCTGTATGTTGTTTACGTGTTGGCGTAATGTTTTATGAGCATTGCATTCCGAATCCGAAGCCTTTGGGTTCGTCGTATTTACGTGAACTTGCTGATGATTATTATATATCTGAATTCTTTGATTGTTTTATTTCATTGGTATATCCTATATAATGAACGGTTGTTCGAATGCTGTTTTGGGTCGTTTTCCTGATTCGTCTGTCACTGATCTCACTCGGGTTACTTCTGTTGCTACGATTCGTAAAGGTGGTTGCTAATGTTTTGACGAGTTGAGCTCGTCGAGCTGGAGAGCTCGACTTTAACTCGTCTGTTACAACAAAATGTTGTGTGAAAAACATCATAAGAATAATGAAGGTGGGGATGTTTTCAAGATAAAACAAGATGGGAGGTTCTGCAAATGGCCATTTTTCTTTTAAAATAATGATAGTGAGCATGTCTCACGGACTCGATCGTGATAAGATTGACGTCCTAGGGAGTATAATTCACAGACTCGATCATGATTATGTAACAGCCCAAGCTTATCGCTAGTAGATATTGTCTGTTTTTGTACGTTACATATTGCTGTCTCACAGTTTTAAAACGTGTATGCTAGGGAGAGATTTCCACATCCTTATAAGGGATATCTTACAGTCCATCTCCCTTGGGGGCCAACGTCTTTCCATCTCCCTTGGGGGCCAACGTCTTTGTTGGCACACTGTCCCATATTTAGTTCAGATATCATTTGTAACAGCCGACATATTTAGTTCAGATATCATTTGTAACAGCCCAAATTGGGGGTCAACGTCCTTGTTGACACACTGCCTCATATTTAGTTTTGATATCATTTGTAACCGCCCAAGTCCACAGATAATATCCCACAATCCATCTGTGATTAAGGAGAGGTTTTCACTTCCTTATAAGGAATACTTAGGATATCTCACAATCCATCTCCCTTGGGGTCAACGTCGTTGTTGGCACATTGCCCCATATTTAGTTCTGATATCATTTGTAACAGCCCAAGTCTACCGCTAATAGATATTATCCACTTTGACCCATTAGTATCGCTGTCAGCCTCATAATCTTAAAACGTGTAGAGTTATTCACACCCTTATAAAGAATATTCCGTTCCTCTTTACAACTAATACGGGCTAACGTGTAACGTGTAGAGTTCTCCACACCCTTATAAAGAATATTTCGTTCCTCTTTACAACTAATACGGGCTATGTCACGGATAATAACATCCTAACTTCTTTTCTCTCTCCCCTCAAAAACTGGATGGAACAGACACGTGGAGAGCAGGGATTGGATAATAGAGGATTGAGAATAAGGAGCTGCTGTTCTCATATCCAAATTGTATGGTGCATAAACAACACTCCTCACTATCCATCACAACTTTTAAAGGGAACTGAGTGTTAAGAGCCAAACAAACCCTTCCCCTTCCCCTTCGCCACCTCTAGCAGCTTCTCTCGCCGGAAAAAATGGCTTCCACTCTGCTTTCTCACTCCGGGATTACCCTCAAAGGATCACCCAAGCTTCTTCCGCCGCCACTAATGGCAGCTCACAGTGAGTTTCTTCAATTTCAAACACCATTGTCAGTATTATTTTTATTGTTCATCTTACCGTTTTCCGTTTATTAGCTGTTCTTCGATTAATACACGTTAAGGTCTCGAAAACAATTTAGTTTGAATCGTGTCAAAAATACGCAACGGGAAACACTCGCACTCTTTGTTAACACAAATCGTAAAGATATTACTTAGACACTCTATAGAAACTAAATGCACTCTTTGTTAACACCAATCATAAACAAATCACAAGACACTATGTAGAAACTACTTGCACTTTGTACTAAAACCTGCTAGTGGAGGAAGACCTCCTAAGGATAAGAGACATAGGGCCAACCCCATCCCTTGGAAGACTCAAGAAAGACAAGATCAATATTCCTTTACAGTCAGAAAAGAAGAAGAAACGGAAAACCCTCAAGATTAATGAGAGTGAACTCTCAGTCAATCCTCAAGAAGAAGAAATGAGAGTGAACCCTTGGTCTCTTTTCTTTCACTCGGTAAACTCAATCACTTGTCCCTGATGGAATGGAAAGAGCATCTTCGAAGCAGCATCGAATTCCATTGATTATGGATCACCTTCTTTTCACCAATCATCAGGAGATTACAAGACACTCTGTAGAAACTACTTGTACTCTGTGCTTTGACCAATGGTAAGGAGATTACAAAACACTCGGTACAAACTACTTGGCACTATATACTTTGGTCAATGGTAAAGAGATTACAAGACACTCTGTAGAAACTACTTGACACTGCTTTGAATTTCTTTTGAGATAAAAACGACTAAACAATCTATTCTTAAAATATCTAAATTTTTTTTCAAGATATCTTTATTCTAAATGAAAAAGCTCACCCCGGTCTTTAGATGAGAAAGCCCAACGATCCATTTATAGGAAATGTTATAACTCAACTCATTGTTCTTCTTTTAACGATGAACTACTCCGGTACAACAAGTTAAAGGGACCTCTACACTCTGTCTCCAGTGCGTAGGGCCGATCCCCATGTGCTCTAGAGGGAAGACCGAAAAATTTGTGTTAAACAGAAAGAAAGTAGGTTTTTGTCTTGTTTAGGCATTTGGTGTCCTACAATGTGTTCGTATAATTATTGGGTATAATTCTATTGGGTCAGTGATAATAGTTGTTACTCATTATCAAATAACAAAAAGACATAGTTAGTAGAAGATCGAACTATCGACCATTGAACGTGAAATTTTGTAGGATTGCCCGTGGTGCAAAAGATGAAGAAGGGAGGGATTAAGTGCAAGTTGGAAGAGAAGCAAGAAGGAAAGAGGTCAAAAGAAAGCCTGATTTCCGGGACGGTGGCGGCCATGGCGACGACCGTGGTGGCAATGGCGGGTCCGGCGGTGGCGCTGGTGGATGAGAGGTTGAGCACAGAAGGAACAGGGCTGCCTTTTGGTTTAAGCAACAACCTTCTTGGGTGGATTCTGGCAGGGATGTTTGGTTTCATTTGGGCTCTTTATTTTGTTTATGCTTCATCCTTGGAGGAAGATGAAGATTCTGGTTTGTCACTTTGAATCACTCATAACATTTCTTCATCAAAATTTGATTTTGATTTACTAAATTGTTAATAAACAAGCGATTATCGCTATTTTAGTCTCGTTTTTTTAATGAAACGTTATTCCTCTCGACGATGTTGACCAAAATTAGTAATGAAAATAAAATGTGGGAATCACTAGAACATGTGGGTCGGCTACAAATTAGGGGTGTTCATGTGACTCGAGAACTCGACCAACTTGAACTATGGGAATCGATTAGGGGTGTTGGTTTATGGGTTGAGATTTTTTTTCGTTGGGTCAACCTGACCAACTCGAAACTAGGGTTACAACTCAATACGACTCTACTTTTAAGATTATCAGGAAGATTAAGAATATTTGACATTTGTAACCGATGTTAGTGATGCATTGTGACTTGTGAATGTTTGATATTTGAGTTTTATGAGATTTTAGTTATTAATGTAACATATACGGTAGATAAGTAGGATTTTATTTGCGAATATCGGTTCATGGGCTGAGTTGTGAACTCTATTTGAGTTACTTGATCGACCAACTTGAAGTTGGTCCAAAAGATTTCTCTAACTCAACCCAACTCACGTCTGCACATATACATAAGCTACAAATATTAAATCGTTACATTATAAATATCGATTTGTTTTAGGGATTATAAGTCTTCTATTTCTCGCCAACAGTACGCTCCTCCTCGAGTTCTCCTCACACCGCAACTAGTAGTCATCTCATCGACACACACAATGAACTCCTTGCCCTCATAGCCATCAACATCCCCTTGCACCACGTCACACGTCTACAAGTCATAACAAAAAAAAAAATAGAGGGTTGAGTTGGGTTAGGTCGTGAAACAATTTTGGGTTTCTTAGGTTACCAATCCAACCTTCCGAGCTTTTGAGTTTGTCCAGAAATGTAACGGCTTAGATCCACCGCTAGCAGATATTGTCCTCTTTGGGTATTTTCTTTCGGGCTTAGATCCACCACTAGCAGATATATTGTTTCATACCCTTATAAAGGGTGGTTTGTTCTCCTCCCCAACCAATGTGGGACATCACAATCCACCCCCTTCGGGGCCCAGCGTCCTTCGCTGGCACACCGCCTCATGTCTACCCCCCCTCCCCCTCCCCTTTCGGGGAATAGCGAGAAGGCTAGCACATCGTCCAGTGTCTAGCTCTAATACCATTTGTAACGGCCCAGATCCACCGCTAGCCGATATTGTCCTCTTTGGGATTTCCCTTTCGAGCTTCCCCTCAAGACTTTAAAACGCGTTTGTTAGGGGAAGGTTTCCACACCCTTATAAACAGTGGTTTGTTCTCCTCCCAACCAATGTGGAACATCACAAGAAAATTTCCTCAACTTAACTCGTGTATATCCCTAATTACACCATAGTCATCCACAATTTTCATCGTTGAGAAGGTTAATTTTTATGGCAAAATCGGAATTTAAACAATAATATTTAATTATAAATAAAATAGGGTGTTTTTAAACAATGTATGACGATGTAACAGGTTGAGCTTGTTCGGGTTTGTATATATCTTTAATATATCATACCGACAATGTTCGATATTATTACCTAACCAAATTTTTATTCTTAATATTTTTAATTAGATACCATCATGTATTTACATATTTATCAAATATTGAATCATGATGAAATTGACAATTATATCAAAGTTTTCTATAAAAATATGAATTAAGATTAGACTAAGTTTAAAAACTTTACTTTAAAAAAGTAATTATAATCAATGCCCTTTCATATCATGAAAAGCCATTATTATTCATAAAATGAAGATAAGTTTTTAAGCAAGGGAGCACGGGTTAGGTTAACTTCCTATTTTCATATAAATCACGTCATACAGTTACGTTGATATGTTTGTTCGAAAAGAATTTTTAAAATTTAAAATACGTTTCACGTCAGTTGGAGAAAAGAACAAAACATTCTTTATATGAGTGTGGAAATCTTTTCCTAGTAGACGCGTTTTAAAACCGTGAGTTTGACGACGATACGTAATGCGCCAAATATGACAATATCTGATGGCAGTGGACTTGGGCTGTTACAAATGGTATTAGAGCTAGACAACAGGTGGTGTGCCAGCGAGGACATTGGCCCCAATAGGTTGAATTGTGAGATTCCATGTTGGTTGTAGTAGACGCGTTTTAAAGCTTTGATGGGAATCTCGAGAGGGAAAACCCAAAAAAGACTAAAAAAACATGACTGTCCAACCTAATTAATTATTAAATATTCGAACTTTGGAGCAAAGTAATTTTCTAATTTGCCCAATTGACGGGAAAATTATATAGTGTACTTATTGTTCTTTGTTTTTAACTCAACACGTGCGGTAGAGATTCAAATCTTCGACGTATAGGTCGAGAGTATATGAGGTATGCTTTGTTCTTAATTCAACTCGTAGAGGTAGAGACTCGAATCTCAGACGTTTTGATCGAGAGTATATATCTTAACTTGTTGAGTTATGCTTTGTTTTTAATTCAACTTGTGAAGGCAGTGATTCGAATCTCTGACCTCTAGTCGAGAGTATATATCTTAAATAGTTAAACTATGCTCAATTTGGCTCGTATGTATTTTCTTTGTTTTAAAACACTGACTCGATATCATTTATAACAGCTCAAGCCTACTGCTAGCAAATACGTCTTCTTTGGGTTCTGCTTAAGGTTTTAAAACGCTGGCTCTGATCTCATTTGTAACGGTATAATATTGTTCTCTTTGAGCTTTCCATTCTGGGCTTTGCCTTAAAGTTTTAAAACGCGTCTAATAGGGAGAGGTTTTCACACTCTTACGAGGAATGATTCGCTTTCATCTCCAACCAATGTACATACTATCGACCAAAACGTCAAAAGATTTTCCAATGTCCCATTTGTCAGCTAAGAAAGAAAAAAAAACGGTACTGAACTTTAAGAAATGTGTTCCGAAGAGAACATTACTGGGTGTAGTCAGCACAATAATATACCGACCCTAAATAATCATAGTATGCATGTCTGAACAATTCAAAATAAATTCAATAATTTCAATTTTATACGCTTCGTCGTGTAAAACTATCAACCACACTATCCCGACCCAACCCGACGAGTTTTTTAATAAGGTGGGAAGTGAGCACATGGGAAGGGTACCCCAACAGCCAAAGCATGTAGTTTTAAAATGGCATTTAGGGCATACCATTACCACCCACCATCCTTGTCTAACCCAAAATACAGCATCCCATGTGGGGCCAATCCTAATCCAACGCCTCTCATTGCACCATCTTTTCCTAATCTCTATTGTCAGCCGTTGGATCAAAAAGGGCCTTTGTGTCCTTAAAATTCAAAGACACCCTCCTTTAATTTGTGTAGCTCATTACCCAAACACCCTTTACCTGCCCATGTCCCCACCTCTTACCATTTGATTCCCCTTGCCCTTCCCATGTCCCCTTCCCACTCTCCTTTTGATTCCTACACGTATTTCAATTTCGTTTCGAATTAATTAAACTTTTGGGTCGGGTAGCAGATTCTTGAAATCTCAAAGTCGTATAGGCAGAATTCTCTGTATCAACCGTTTATGGAATAGCTCTCGGGAATCTAAATTACTATTCTAACTGAATGGAAGTGTTTATAGTTTACTATAGTTTAAGACATTTTTTAAGTTTGAACATGTAACAGCTCAAGCTTACCACTAGCAGATACTGTTCGTTTTAGCTTGTTACTATCATCATCAGCCTCACGTTTTTTAAAATATGTTTGTTAGGGAGAGATTAGCTCAAGCCCATAGATAGCAGATATTGTCCGTTTTTGCTTGTTACGTATACCGTCAGCCTCATGGTTTCTAAAGCACGTCTATTAGGAAGAGATTTCCACACCCTTATAAGCACTGCCTCGTTCCACTCTCCAACCGATGTGAGATCTCACAACCCACCCCCTTGAGTGTTAGTATCCTCGCTGGCACACTGCTCGGTGTTTGACTCTAATACCATTTATAATAGGTCACGTTCACCCCTAGCATATATTGTCCGTTTTAGCCTGTTACGTATGGACGTCAGCCTCACAATTTTAAAAATGCGTCTATTAAGAAGAGGTTTCCACACCCTTATAAGCAAATCTTCGTTCCCTTCTACAACCAACGTGGGATCTCAAACGTCAATTCTGCTCAAAATTTAAGAATTAAAATAACAAGTTAAAAACTAAAAAAAATAATAAATTGAGTAAATTTATTATTCGATCTAAAATAATTAGTTTATGAAAGAAGAAAAAAATCAATCATAATTTTGAGCGCGTGTATAACACGCGCCATGATAGAAAGTGGGGAAATTATACGCATTTTGGTTTGATCGCCATCTATAAAATACGTTTCAGTGGTTATTTGGGCCAACGCGCATTCCATTTCTCCCCCTTTCCCACTTTCCCGTCCGATTCTCTGCACTTTCTGTTTGTTTCCCGAGAAAATTAAAAAACCCATCGGAAAATTAAGCGAAACCCATTTGAGAAAGAGAAGAAAAAATGGCGTTTGAGAAAGATCTCAACTTGGAAGCCACGGAGCTCCGACTTGGCCTGCCGGGAACCTCGCCGGACAATCAATCTCCTCCGATCAACTCCAACAAAAGAGCTTTGCCGTCCGACGACCAAAACCTGCCGGATTCCGCCCGAGAAAATAACTCCGATCCCACAAAATGCACCCCGGAAACTCCGCCTCCCACCAAGTAAGTATGGTTGGATGAAAAGAAAAGTCTCGGGAATAATTGTGAGTTTATAATTAAGAAATACTCTCTCAATTAGGGAACCAAAATGCAAATCCACCAGAGTGTGTATTCAAAGTGGACAATATCGTACCATTGTGGAGAGTCGTGTTTGTCTAACAAGCACTTTATGAAAAATTTGATAGAAAGACGTTTATATTTATCTCGTCCGGGAATAATCGTGGGTTTATAATTAAAGAATACTGTCTCCATTGGTACGAAGCATATTGGGAAGTCTAAAACAAATCCACCAGAGCTCAAAGTGGACAATATCATACTACTACCAAGAGTCATGTTCGTCTAAAAAAATTTAACAGAAAGACATTCTTTATTTGTCAGGGCACAGGTTGTGGGGTGGCCGCCGGTCAGATCGTTCAGAAAAAATTCTTTTCAAGTGAAGAAAAA